CTCCTGAAGCAGACTCGGCAGAGCGAAGCGAAACGATAAAAAGCACTGCTGAAAGCACCCTGCCGTGTAAGCTCGCACATTGTCAAGCACAAAGATTCACCGTCACGTGTATAGCATATATATATATATATATATATATATATATATATATAGTATAGTCGTGTAGACTGTAGAAGTCTACACAGTCTACACAGTTACGAAAGGTATTGGGATACTTGGCGAGCCTCTGGGAATTTTCCCAGTTTCTACAGTTGTCGTAAACAACTCACCAAGTCATAACTTTCGTGTATACACCCCTTCGCAATAACTCATGATACTCATCAAATTTCACACGGTTATACAAATCAAATAAAATCGCGGATCCTCGTTGAGACGATTGATTGATACCATCAATGATAAGAGAATAACTTTTCATAACTTTTCCACAGTTGTTTGAGTAAAACTTAATTTGTATACGTCAACATTTTCATATATAATACATTAATAAAAATAAGCAAAGAAGTCATATTCATTCGAAGCGAGTCTTTGTGTCTAATAATATTTTTGTGTGAATTTGGACGAATTCCAGTTCAAGCAAACTACGCGTCGATTATTTGCTGGTGTTGAAATACAATCCTGAACTTAAGCTGGGGTACGTAATATCACTAATTAAATTCACAAACAATTTAATATTATTGATGCTAATGAGCATTCTTTAAACACTGTAGAGAATTTAATATATTAAATTTTAAGCATTTTATAATAATTATTCTTGATTAAGATAGTTAAGGAAACCGTAATAAATTGCGAGCTTTCAATGAGATATTCAACACAATTAAAAACAGAATCAAATAATAATAATCGAAAAGAATAATTGAAAACCGGAATTGAAGATAATCTCGTTGTCGCAGATAAAAAAGGTAAAAAATAATTAGAAAGATATAAAGAATTTTTAAAAGATACAGCAAGTACTTACGCCGCTTCCAATACTTCTTTTGGTGAAACTTAATATCTCATGCACGTCCTTTTCTATACATAATTGTTCTGTTTAACGTATTTATGGTATACAATAATGTTAAGGATACAAAGTTTCGCGAGATGCTTGCACGCGAAGAAGCTCAAACGAGAGCGATGAACGTCGGATGAAGCTGGCAGAATCAACGAACTAAACCGTAAAAGTTATCATCGGTATTATCGCGCGAAAGAAATAACGGTATGCGTTATCATCGAAGCGCGAAACAGCGAACGCTATTCTCATTTTTAGCCGTTTCTCCGTTTTCTTATTCATGACTCTGCTCGGTGAGAATCGATTATCGATACTGTGGGTAATTAATAGCTGCCTGGAGGTAATGAAAATGAAAGCTGGACACGCGTCGTTTCCGTGCATGTAACTGAGAGAGAGAGAGAGAGAGAGAGAGAGAGAGAGAGAGAGAGAGAGAGAGAGAAAGAAAAAGAGAGAAAAAGGATTCTCCTGATAATACTCATAATTTATTGTTTAAAATTAAGTCTGGTGATTACAATTTTGTTTTCTTCTTTTATTTTCTAAATACAAAAATAAACGAATATTTCTCTTTATTCATTAAATATCAATGTAAAGGATAAAATTGAAAGTAATCTTTAAAATCGAACACATTTTCTTCCAGCAGTTTAATGGCGAAATAAAGAGAACAATTCCGAGTTTTCGATTTTTTTTTATGCGAGCAATCGCCGACAAATTAATTTCTACTTTGCCACGCAGAGTACGTAAAGACAATTATTACCACTCGTGATAATAATAATAGGCGACCACCTTTTAGTGCTGCTTCTCCAGAATTTAACGAAAAAGCGAATTCAACATACTTTTATAACGTTGCTAAAAGTTTTTACCGCGAGCGTAAACGTATTAATTAAGCGTTAATTTAGCGCGTTTAAAAATGAAACGACACATAAGGCGGTTATGCAGATACAAAACACAGGAGATGTAACGTTTTGACTCATTTCCATTTTTCTTAAAATGAAATTTCTTTTATTAGCGTAACAGTTCATGTCTCTTCAAATGTCATTTTCTTTACACAAACTTTGAAAATATTTAAAGATTTTATTTTATTTTTTGGAGGAGGAGAGAGAGAGAGAGAGAGAGAGAGAGAGAGGGAGAGGAGAGGAGAGGAGAGGAGAGGAAAGAGGAGAGAGAAGGGAGGGGAGAGAAAAAATAGTATAAAATATTATTTAACGTGTTAGAGAACTTCTTGAAGGATACAAGGAAGAAAGAATAAGTTTATGTTATACATTTTTGTTAATTGAAAAATTTTTTTTTGTTCTACAAAAAATATGAGAGATAATAAGAAATTAAAAATAAAATAAAAATTGTTATTTATTGTGTTGATTATTGTCAGAAAATTTACATATAATTTGCACACGAGATATTATTTCCGTGTTAAAGTGTAAGTTTGGGTTTATTTTTTTCCGTATTTGTTGGAATTTTGATTTTTTTCGACAGTATTTTTTTTAGGTACATTGATGCGAGAAACTCGACAAAATAATAAAAGTGATAGATAATATAAATAAAAGATTTCGAAATTTCCATACTTGAAAAATAATGCCTAGCCGTGTGTGTTCTTTTTTCGATTTGCAATTGTAAAATATGACAGTATCACATGTATACGCTTGTTATCCTGTACTCATACAGTCGTGCCGTTTTGCTCTATACAACTCGTAGTACCTACTCTAAAACTATAATGGAAGTCCTTTCGCATCTGACGTGTTCTTACGCGATTAAGTCCGGACCCGACTTCTCAAGGAGATGTGAAGTGTGAGATTCGTAGTTGGCTCTTTGGGTACACGACGGGAAACCTGGAGGTGAACGCCATCGTTGATTCCTTCTTGTGTCTAGTTAATGGAACTAAGAAGCTCGTAAACGTATTAACTGCTGCAAAGGACATTGGCTTTGATCCACCTGTGACGAGTGCCTATCCTCGTCTTTGCTCTTTGAAAAGTAGTATGTGTAATTCGCTGTTTTAAGTGCAAAAATAAAGCTGATCGCTAATGTAAAATTATTAAAAATTAATAAATAGCCATGCACATAGAAATTATTATTTAAATAAATATAAAGTTTTTTGATAGTCAAAATATAAAAAGATACTAAATGAAGGTGTTTCTAGGTAAATGTATTTTAATTTAAATTGTGATACGTATTTCTGAAACATTGGTTGCGTATATCAGCATTTGAGTATTTCTTTTATTATCGGTTTCTGTTTTCGAACGAGAAAAGG